AAAAAAAAAAAAAACAGAGACGACAGAGAACAACCCGAAGCCGCGGCGGAGACGGCGTAAGAGCAAGTTGGGAGACGACGGGTCGGCCGCAGTGGCCCGCAAGAGGAAGCTGAGCGACGAACAGGTGCAGATGCTGGAGATGAGCTTCGGGAATGAGCACAAGCTCGAGTCGGAGAGGAAGGACAGGCTGGCCGCCGAGCTGGGCCTCGACCCTCGCCAGGTGGCCGTCTGGTTCCAGAACCGCCGTGCCCGCTGGAAGAGCAAGAAGCTCGAGGAAGAGTATGCCAAGCTCAAGTCCCAGCACGACTCCGCCGTCCTCGAGAAATGCCGCCTCGAGTCCCAAGTATATATAAATATATATCATCAACATCAACATACCCATATATATAAATATATATAAATATATATATTCAATTTATATCTTTTTTTATTTACTAGTATTTAGATAGATGCATGCACCCTTTAATTTCACTTTAAACAAACTAAAATAAAATAAATAAAAAAAAAAAGTGGGAATATGATATTTGGATAACAATAAACTCTCCTCAGTAGTTGGAAAAAAAAAAATAATAATAATAAAAAAAAAAACGAGATAGGTTGATTTTGGGTTATTGTTTGTTTCAAACTTCCTCACTCACATGCCATTCTCTCCACGTGTACGTTCTCTACGCGCTACACAAATAAATTAAATAATGTATATTAAAAAATCTGAGATTAATTAAATTTATTTTTGTATTTTTAATAAATTTAATATAATGATTGGGGAAAAAAAAAATGTGTACAGCTAATGAAGCTGAAAGAACAACTGGACGAAGCGGAGAAGGAGATACAGAGGCTGTCGGAGCGGTCGGACGGGTTCTCGAGCAACAGCCCGTCGTCGTCGTTTTCGATGGAGCCGCCGTTTCTAGGTGAATTTGGAATGGAAGGTTTGGAGAATGTGATCCCTTACAACAACAATGCGGCCTATGCTAATGCGCCCTCCCAATGGGGCAGCCTCTATTACATCTGATCTGTTAATTAATTATATTAGGCTTAATTAATCTCATATGTAGAATATAAATAGTATATTAATTGGGCTTTTTATGTTGTAAATTAATTATTTTTTTTTTTTTTTTTTTTGGGGTTTGGATCTCGTTTGCTTTGTTTTCATGGGGTTTTTTTTTTTTTTCATGATTTTAGGTGTGTTGAATGTTCGAAGGGTACTGATTGGCAATTATTAGATTTTAGTAATTAATTGTGGTGACTTATAAGAATTATTATTACTTTGCCTTTTCAGGAATATGTTAATAATTATTGGGTTTTGTTTCGAAACAATTTCGTCATGATTTGTAACCGTTAGATCAATTCACTGACGGTTACATGATGATCTAACGGTTACAAATCTCAATGAAATGGTTCCGTAACGAGACTGTAACATTTCTCATAATTATTAGCTAGCTTAGCTTAGCTTGGTGTTTGTGTACTTTGTTGGTGCTTTTATTCTCTTTGTTTTTTAGCACACATTGTGGTCTAAAAATGTAAGAGATGGGGACTAATCAGTTCTCAGTATACATCGAATGGGGCTGAAAATTTAGAAAAACCGGGTTGGCTAAAGACAGGCTTTGATAAGGACTTGTACTTGATTTCAATGGCCTTTGACGCAGCACCTCATACACTAGCTTATAAAATGTGCACCAAATTAATAATTAATTAATCTCACAATAAAATAGGAGATTCCATCTGAAAAAACAAAGAAAAAAAAAATATATATATATATTTTTTTATCGATTTTGCGATTTATTTTATTGGACTTATAAATTTCTCATAATCGTTTTAGGGTGAATGAGAATTTAATTCTAAGTTATATATGTAGTAAATAAATGAGTTGTGTAGATCAAAATTGAGTTTAATATGCTCAAATAGAATCGGAAAAAAAAAAAAAAAAACAATACCAGAACGAAGGAAAAGAAAAGGTCAGAATTGCATGTGGATCGTGTAGAAAAATGAGCTTCGCAGGCTCAACCCTGGTCGGACCTGTTGGCCACCAAGAATTTCTATCAATGATACCAATGTTTTTCTAACCTGACCTGGTATCCGACTGACATCTGAGTCATCAGGTCAACTAATGAATCGAAGAATTATGTATAAGTATAATAAATATTAACAGATAGATAGAAAGTCAAATATATCTCTCACCTCCGCGCGGGGCCTTCGCCATGTTTGCGTCACCGCCACCCTTGTCGCCGCCTCAAACAGAGCCGGTTTTAGAGGCAGACAAGTAAGGCATTTGCCTAGGGCCTCAACATTTTAGGGGCCTCATATATAGATATATATTTATGTATTATATATTTATACATTTGTGTTGTTGGGCTTGGCCCAATTCTTCACATATATCAATTTACAAAAATTTTAAAATGTACTTTTTTTTTTCTGCCCGAGCCAGACAAATTGCAATATGATTTTAATTTCATGATGCTTAAATTGCTCAGGAAGTTCTTTGTTGTTTTTTTTTTTTTTTT